TTCCCTCCTTCCTTCCCTTTCTTCTCTCCTTCTCTCCTTCCTTCCCTCCTTCCTTCCCTCCCTCCTTCCCCCTTCTCTCCTTCCTTTTCTCCTCCCTTCCCTCCTTCCTCCCCCTTCCTTCTCTCCTTCATTCCCTCCTTCCTTCCCTTTCTTCTCTCCTTCCTTCCTTCCCTCCTTTCTTCTCTCCTTCCTTCCCTCCCTCCTTCCTTCCCTCCTTCCTTCCCCCCTTTCTTCTCTCCTTCCTCCTCTCCTTTCCCTTCTCTCTTTCCCCTTCCTCTCCTCTACCCTTCCCCCCTTCTTCCCTTTCCTCCCCTCTCTCCTACTCTTACATTCCCTCCAATTCTTCCTCTGCTTTTTTTTGCTGGCACAAATCAGATTTCATAATAAATGTTTATTTCTTTCGCCAATCAATTTTGAGAATCTCCTAATGAAAATTTCCCGGAAATTCAAACTGACCGGTTGGAAAAACCTCCTCATTTTATCTCCTGTGTCCATCTGTCACAGAAGCCCTCAGTCCAAGATTGGAGTGGACGGTGCAGGAGAAGTCTACCTTACATTTTCAAACTTAAAAGTTAAGTTGAAACATGAAATTCTCTTCATTTCGATAGCTCCCCCCCCCCCCCAATTGTGGCTGGAAAAAGGACAGTCGAGGAGGCAACATTCAAAAGTCACCTTGTCCTACACAACATGACAACCAGCGGCCTGTGCGTGCGTGTGGGTATGCGTGTGTGTTTTCAGCGCCATCTTGACTTTTTTGCCCTAATCCAACCGGCTGGCATGAATCTCCTACCTTCATTTAAAATTTATATTCCCAAATAACGTATTTTCCAGAGTACAGGCAGTTCTAAACTTACATCTATTCGTTTAGTGACCGTTCAGAGTTACGGCGTCCCTGAAAAAAGTTATTCATACGTGATCAACATTCAGACACTCGGCTGTCGATTCGTACTTATGACAGTCGCAACGTCGCGGGGTCAGGCATTCCCATTTGCAATGAGCAAATGTCCACCGATTCGCTTAACAACAGCGTGACTAACTGGATAATCGCGGAGATTCACTTAACAACAGTGGCCGGAAAGTTTGTCAAATGAGGCAAAAGTCACTTCGGAAGCATTTCGCTAAATGATGGAAATTGGGGGCCGAATTGCGGTGGTTAAATCAAGGCCCGCCTGGAATTATGAGTCTGTTTGTGTCTCCCTCTCTCTTCTCAAAGCGAGGCTGACAATGTTTAGAAATTCTTGACGGATGATTCAACTCCAATTTGAAATATATAGCCGTCCTCGGCCTAACGACCATTTTTCGATGACGCAAAATTAGAACAGCCTAAGTGACTCACAAACATGACCTCAGAGATCACAATTTACACACTGGGCAACAAGCTGGTATTTTACGTGGTGACGTTTTGTGAGATTTTTGGCATTTTAGGTGATGTATTGTGTGGATTGACATCTATGTTGTGATGTTTTGTGTCGTTTTTGGCATTTATGTTGCAACCTTTCGTGCATATTTTTGGGTTTATGTGGATGTTTTGTGTGGATTTTTGTGATTTACGTTGTGATGTTTTGTGCGGATTTTTGGCATTTATGTTGTAACATTTTAATGGATTTTTGGCACGTTATTTGGATTTTCTGTGACTTGCGTGGGTTTTTGCAATTATGTTGTATGGATTTTTGGCATTTATGTTGTGACATTTTGTGTAGACAATTGGCAGAAAAATGTCCCTTGGCAAAGCCAGATTCATTTAACAACTGCACTGCTTTGGTTAACAACATGATCGGCTTAATGACTGCGGCAATTTGCTCAACAATAAAAATGGTAGTTAAAATGATGGTAAAACCGGGTGGAATTGGAACTTAATAAGGAAATTTTGTCTCGTGGTCATAAATCGTGATTGTTAAGTTGTAAAACGAGGACTACTTGTACCAGCCGTTTCTCAAGAAAACTCCTAAAATCTCGGGGTATTTTGCATCTTCTCCACCATTTGGGGAAGGAGAAGAAAAAGGGGATGAGTTTCTTGTTAGAAAAGACAAAAAATAAAAAGCGTACACACGACACAAACACACCCAACACAAGAGCCACAAAATGTTGATTTTATCCCCATTTATTAACTTTCATCTAGATTGTAAAAAGGTTGCAGGACAAGTAACAACCAATGGCCTATGCGAGCATCGAGTCACAGGTACGTTTCGAGGATATTCCCAGCAGCCCTCGGGGCACTCAAGGAAGTCCCAGGGGAAATAGCCAACTTGCCCTCTCCCGAAAAAAGTCGCCGATTCACGTCCGAAATTTGGCGATTGCCCCATTTCAGGAGAGGGGCAGTGTCACAATCTACACCTCCCCACCCAATGTGGGCAAAGCTGCCTCCATCTTTCTTGCACGGAAATCACGGTTAAGCACCCAAACCGGGATGGTGGCGTCTACGAGAGCGAGTGGGGCGGCTTGTTCCGGACGAGAGAACGAGGCTGTTTCTATAGACAAGGGGTGTTAAACTCCAAGCCCGCAGGGTGCTTAGATCTGGCCTGCACCGCTGCCCTGGAAACAGTGAAGGATCGGCCCAAAGTAACCCTCTGCGTGACCCTACCGTGCTGTTTTTGACGGCGGTGGCCTCCTGCACCCCTCTGTCAGTGAAAACGGAGCTCGGGCAGGCCACGCGCCTTCCCCAGCTTCATTTTGGCTGGCTGCAGAGCTGCAGGAGACCACCGCGTCAGAAAACAGAGCCTGTGATGTGGAGCTGGCCACCCCACCCCCCACTCCCGAAGTCAAACAGAACCCTTCTGCGGCCCTCAAGGAAATCGAGTTTGACATCCCTGCTGTAGACCGACGAGAGGTTAAGTCGTCAGAAACAGCCTCGTCTGCAACGAAACTAGTCGTCCCATTTGCTCCCGTAGATGCCACCATCCCGGCTTGAACGGAGAAACCCCCCCTCTCTCTCATTAAGGGGGTCCTCACAAGAAGACATTGAGGTAGTCCTTTAATTGGCCGCTGCTGCCCTCAATCCATGCATCTACAACACAGAGCACAGATGCTATTCCCATGCGGCGAGATACAAGCGCCGTTCACCCCGGGGTCATATTCCTGGCAGACTCGCCAAGTGGAAGCTGAGAGCTGGCATGCAAGAGGATGGGCTAACGAGAATGTTAGGTAGCCTCTCACCTCTACTTTGGGGGGAAAAGGGGGCTCCTGGGCCACTGAACTGATCCTACTCAACGAGAAACATAACAAGTTCCAGAAACCTAGTTATGACTCCATGTGCGGCGATGCCTGTTGAGTTTCCCCTGCTCGGATAATCCTAGTAAGAACGGGATCTCTCCGCCTGCACATGAGCGGTGATTCAGGGAGCACAGGACGAAGCACCCCCTGAACCAAACTACAGCACGAAAGTCTTCCAAAAGTAGCCTAACCCTATCCAGTGTTCTTGAATCCGGACATTTGGTTCGTCTCACGGCGTCATCCCAAGCGCCTGGAATGGGCCGCCAGCCAGCCCCGTTCTCAACGGAGCGGATAAAATCCGACCTTGTGCGTGAACCCCGTACGGTCAGGACACGCGCGAGCCCAGGGGGTGAGCCAAGACCATCCGACCCACACTGTCTTCAGGCGTGTGACCATCATGCTTCGCCTACAGCTTGGAGGAAGATACAGGGTGCTGTCTCTCCCACCATGGCGGGCCGACACCAACCACAGTCAGGCCGGCTCTGGGAAGCGAGAGGTGTCACAAGGGATAAATAGAACTTTATTTAAATAAACATATCTCAACATCTTTGTACAAATTACAAGTCCTCGGGGCCATATCCTAGGCGCCGAAGTTGGCGGAAGGGCCTTTCAGCAGGTCCACCAGGATATCCAAGAGCTGGCTGTGTTGTTGATGGAGATCGCTGGGAATGGCCGCCATCTCGTAACAGAGACAGGTTTCCACCATCCGGGAGAGGGCCACCCGGAAGTCGCGGAGCAGCCGTATGGTGTATGAATCACCTTCCAGCACCAGCAGGTCGCTGTCCACCAGGGAGATGGTGGCACGCCAGCCGTCGTCTTGGGGAAAATGAACAAAGAGAGGGAACACTTAAGGATGATAATTCTTCATATATTAATTTATGTGTTTTTAAAAAATCCAATTATATGCGATGCGATATATCATATCGACTTAAAACAATTCAATTAGTAGCAGCTTGAACTTACGACTACACTGAAAAAGTTACTTATTCCTGATTCCAACACTTACGACCATTGAAGCATTCTTGTGGACATGTGATCAAAACTCCAACGCCTGGCAACAGACTCGTATTTATGACGGTTGCAGTGTTCCAGGATTACATGATCTCTTTTTGTGATCATCTAACAAAATTTGTCAAATTTGTCATCACGGCATCGTCACGATGTATCGCAACTTTCCCCCTTCGCTAAACTGGGTGTGGGCGTGGCCAGCCCATGACGTATCTGGCCCACGACTTTGGACAGTTCTAACAAACATAGTCTACACAGCAGCCAGATTTACTTAATGAAGCTGTTACTAACTTAACATCTGTGGTGATTCATTTAACCACCGTGTCAAGGAAAGTTGTAAAAACGGGGCAAAAGTCTCTTAACATCTCACTTATCAATGGAAATCTGGGGCTCAATTATGGTCGTATGTTGAGGAATAACTCTGTACGGGAGGATTTCCAATTTCTCACCCCGCACATAGACGTCCGTATCGGTCATCAGCAGCACGGCGAGCGGATGCACCTGCGAGGAGTCACGCACGAAGACACCGCCATTAGATTTGACTGCCATGAAGTAGGTCAGCCAACGGCTATACAGCTTGGAGGACTCCCTGAGGGGGACAAGGAGAGGAGTGTCTCACCTCTGGTTTGTGCTCATCCGTCCCAACTGTTTGGCGTCCCAGGAGGGACCGACTCGCCTACCTGTTGATCGTCGATTTATGTAACAGGACGGTCCCTGCCTTGGTCCGATATGTATAGCTGTTCGGTTTGAACTTGCCCTGTCTGGTCACCTTCCCTTGCCGGACCTGGAAGAAAAGGGACATTTTGGGGGGCCTTTTCCAAGTTACCGGAAGGGCCTCCCACACAGGACTCCGTAGCCCCATGATGGCGGCGAACCTGTGGCACACAGAGCCATTTGTTAGGATACAGAAGGTGTTGGCCTTCGTTTTTAGCTGTTTTTGGCCCTCCTGACACTTCCTGAAGGAGTGCCTCTGGGGGGGGGGGGAGAGGGAGCCCATTTTCGCCCTCCAGAGGATCCTAGAAAGCCTCTGGATCCTGATGGAGGGCGAAAAACAGGTCTATTTGGGGTGTCACATGCATAGAATTATGGGTGTGGGCATGCCCGCGTATGACCTCCCCTGCGCTTTTGGCACGTGATGGCAAAAAGGTTAGCCATCACTGCGGTAACCCATGCTTTGCAGGAACCTCGATGGAAAAGAGGAAGACTCCCTGTTTCTCAACGAAGGCCCCCGTTAGCCAAAGCCACTGAGCCCCCCCTTGAGGTGGAATCTGGAGTAGAGCTAGAGATGAGATTCCACAAGGACCCTCCGCAGAAAAGACCCCACTCATGATGCCACCTCTAGGACAGGAAAATAAGAGCAAACCCCCCACATCCTTCTGGCACTGATGTTGTAGCCAACATGGGTTATGAAATGTCTGCAAGGAAACCAAGAAGCTCAGAGAGGACCACAGACCCCACTGTCTGTTCCTCCTCCTCCTCCACGAACCCCTTCCCCTTCTAACCCTGATGATGTTACCTAGATGGGTTATGAAATGTCTGCAAGGAAACCAAGAAGCTCAGAGAGGACCACAGACCCCACTGTCTGTTCCTCCTCCTCCTCCACCAACAACCTCTTTCCCTTCTAGGACTGATGATGTCCCCTAGTTGGATCACGAAAAATCTGCAAGCAAACCTCCCTCTCTCTCTCACCTGGATGAGGTTGGGGTACAGGCCGGCCATCAGAACTCCCTTCACCAGTTCCTCCTCCTCGCTGTGCTGGTTGCAGACAGACGAGGGCAGGAGGCAGTCCGAGGGAGTCGGCACTAGGTAGGCCTCGTAGAGGTTCTCGGAAAACTGCTTCACCAGGCCTGGGGGGGGAGGGTAAAACCACGGAGGAGTAAAGACCCGGAGGAAAGAAACATCCGTCCAGCAAGGGAGTCTCCAAACTTTAAAAGACCGGAGGACTTCCAGAATGCCCCAGAGGGCAGATCGTAAATCCATGCCAGTGGCCAAACGAGGGTTTGTCCATTTCTTTGGTGGCCATTTGCAGTTACAACAGCACTCCGTCCTCCCAAGATTGGCAAAGTGAGGACCCATCCATCTCCTTCCTTCCTTCCTCTCCCCCTCTTTTCCTTTCTTCCTAACTCCCCATCTCCTTCCTTCCTTCCATCCACCCTTCCCTATAATTCCTCCCTCTCTTTCTTCTTGTATCCTTCTTTCCTTTCTTCCTAACTCCCCACCTCCTTCCTTCCTTCCTTCCAGCCTTCCCCATAATTCCTCCCTCTCTTTCTTCTTGTATCCTTCTTTCCTTTCTTCCTAACTCCCCACCTCCTTCCTTCCTCCCATCCAGCCTTCCCCATAATCCCTCCCTCCTTCCTTTTTGTATCCTTCTTTCCTTTCTTCCTAACTCCCCACCTCCTTCCTTCCTTCCTTCCAGCCTTCCTTCCCCATAATTCCTCCCTCCTTCCTTTTTGTATCCTTCTTTCCTTTCTTCCTAACTCCCCCCCTCCTTCCTTCCTTCCTTCCATCCAGCCTTCCCCATAATTCCTCCCTCCTTCCTTTTTGTATCCTTCTTTCCTTTCTTCCTAACTCCCCCCCTCCTTTCTTCCTTCCTTCCATCCACCCTTCCCCATAATTCCTCCCTCCTTCCTTTTTGTATCCTTCTTTCCTTTCTTCCTAACTCCCCACCTCCTTTCTTCCTTCCTTCCATCCACCCTTCCCCATAATTCCTCCCTCCTTCCTTTTTGTATCCTTCTTTCCTTTCTTC